GCAGCGCAGTAGCTCTCTTGTTTTTGTCTCTCAGTTTAATCCTTGGCCCTGGCCCTTTCTTCTGTAGACTTTGCTTATTTTCTCAGTGTTTGCGTGGGTTTTCTCCAGGTGCGTGACCTTTCATCTAAATGAATTGCAAAGAAATGAGCACATCACTTGCTAATTAGTGGAATAGCAAACCGCACAGTCTTTCAGAATTACACATATTTTATTTGATTCATGCATTATGACTGATAGCTTTCATATGCTGCTGGTGACAGGCGCTGAGAATAATGCAGCTATACAGCATGCAACACCAACATTGAATGTGACTGGAATAGTTTCAAACACTACATTTCTATAATTTACTCTCTGCACTAACACAGACCATAATCTTGGACAGCGGGGCAACTTGCTCAATGCCATTATTGCACTTTAATACAGCTCTGTCCATGCCACTTGTCTATAATACTACACCCAGGCAAGCTCATTGTGCTGCCAGGACCACTTATAACATCCCTGCCTCATGTGCAGCTCCTCCTCCTCCTCACTCTCCTCTGCCTATGAGCCAATGCAAATTACAGTAACAGCTTGGACGTGAGTATAATCTCAAGTGGTGTGAGCTGGGCTCCATGGCGAGGCATGCAGGCAGATGGAAGCAGAGACTCTGCCAGCCCTCTTTAGGGGCTCCCACTCTTTCTCCAGCATGCTAGACAATGGAGGAGCTGTGGCTCATAACCAGCTACTCGTCTGCCACTACCATGCGGCCTACTCCCATACGCTGTATTTGGTAAATGATATGAAAGGAAGGGGGCTCCTGTCATGGCCTTGTTTTAGACTAGTGCACAGATGGACACTGATGCTGGCCACATTATATCATGAGCCACTTAGAGAGCAGAGGGTGGAGACTTTTGGAAGGATTTTTTGTTCGGAAATTCACATTTAGGATGAAAGAGGAGTGACGGTAGCACAGTTGGTGTGTTTCTATATGTGTCTTAGAACAGCAGGTGGTACAGAAGAGGCCATTCCCTTGAGCTATGGTAGATATTTAAAAATAGCCCTCTAAATAAACAACGTTTCCTATTTGCATAAAAGATGATATCTGAATTCAGGGAAGATTTATTTTAGCACCTTAAGAGAGAAGCTTTGAATCTCCTAAATAAGAATAAATAACTGTACATATGTGTCTGAACATACATCATCCATACAATATTCATACAATATACACTACAAAGTGTAATTAACTCAAGCCTAGTTGAGATATATTGTGTGTCTGGGTTGCATCAGGGGAAAATGTATTTATTTTTCAGATATGTTTTCCTACTCTGCCTGAGCATGCACATAACTGTCACTAAGTTGAGTAACATCTGTCCCCGTTTGCCAGGAATGAGACAGAAGAGTTGGTCCTGCTCTGTGATTTGTGATGCTCTGCTGATTCTTCTGAAATTCATAAAAGACAACTGTGAGTAGGAAAGATTTACTGTGGTTTCTAATACCTTCTAAGGTTTTGAGCTTGCCTCTTGGGATTCACGAACTGCTATAAAAGTTGCATCAACATGTCATGCACCTTTTATTTTGAATGAATGAGCTCCAGGCTTTACACATGCATGACAACACAGATGAAAGGTTCTCTGTTTTGCAACTTGTGGAGAGTCTTGTTTATGCTCACAAACACTGATTGTGCTATTCTTAGTCATTAATGTAAACAGATTCTTAAATTCAGTTGTGTTCTTGGTAACTAATAAGGATGCCTCACGCAATAAGGACTGCTTCCATGCACTTCCATGTGTCATTAACCATGACTCTGAACTTCTGATTATGTGAAGTTGCTCCCAGACAAACATATGTATCTTGGAGGAGATAAAACGACACCCTTCCTCCTGCATACATACATAACAACCAACTGTACAAAAGAATATGATGTAAGAAAAAATCAATGGACTGTGAGTCAGCTGTGTATCAAGATGAGGCTGTTTAAGTGACTCAGTCTTCAATGTGTTTGCCAACCTTGAGTGCATCTGCACCAACAAAAAGATATCTGACTGAGAGAAAGAGAGAGAGAGAGAGAAAGCACCAAGACACTGAGCACAACTCCCCTGGAGCTACGCATCTATTGTATCTGACTTGTGCTCGCACGCACGCAGGTGTGTTTGATTTTACCATATTTTCCTGCACTATTATTTGAAACAGCTTCAGCTTCTCCATTTCAAAGCTGCTGTTATTCTGAGACTTGGATGACATGGAGTGTATAGCTTAATTTCTGTGGATGATTAGAGCTGTGGTAACAAGACTCAGGTGCTGAGATGATATCTTAACATGTGCTGTGAACCTCAAGACTACCCCGAGCTGCTACTCGACACTGCCTGTCACTGACTTCAATACTTGGTATTCCAGGAAACACTGACTGCAAGACTCAGATTACTTTGACAAGGGAAGCAGACCACAGAACACAAGACACGGGAGGGTAGGCGTATGTGCACAGTGCCGCCACTGGAATTTTGAATATGTGAGGGTAATAACTTGACCTCCTCCTCACTCTCCCCTCGATCCCTGATTAAAACCATGTATTCACTACCTACTTACAGAGCAACGTTTTTCTCAGTTGTAGTGCCATAATTTTTGCTCGAGCAGAGACGAAACTGGTGGGGAATCCTGTTGTTACGCCTCTTATCGCCCTCAAACTTGACAACTAGGATTAAACTACACTCGAGCGAACAGCTGGGTGAAGATGTCCAAAGAATACATATGGGCACAAATTGCTTTTATTTGACGTGAAAGTGAGTTTCAATTCTCTTAAAAAGAGGATTAATCTAAGTATGGGAATTGTTTTCTTTTTTTAGGACAGAAACAGAACAGGATGTCTCACGCTACACAAAATATGCAGAGTTATGCAGGGTGCATGACTGTTGTAGATGCTGCTTGTTAGGCTTACGACGAGAGGGAGGGGGAACACTGAAGGGAACAGCAGTTATGTTCAATTCGGTAACACAAGCTGGCTAATTAGCATTGCCCTGCCATTCCCTTTGAACTAGAGGAGGACAAGTGGGAGCCATCATATTTCTTTGTTCTCAGCACTGTGTGATGCCCTCCTGACCGCAGAAACCACAGGGGTTCTGACCACGGAGGGTCAGAGGTAGGAAAAATAAGCTCACCTCCCCACCTCCCTGCTTACTGAACTCCCCCATGGGAATTACCCAGACCTTTTCCTAAAACTACGCCCTCAGCAAAGTGCATGTACTAGCAGCAGGCTGGATCAGATATAGCGCCTAGATGTAGTGCAATGACATTTTCAGGATGCAAACCTACTCTGACTACAGCAGACAGATGTTAAGGGGATACAGGTACCTACTGCACTTCAGATGCACACAATTATTCTCGGCTGACTGCCCTCTGAAGACGCAGCACAGATCATTAACTCGATCCTCTCGTGTACCAGGTTTTAATTAATAGTTTCATGCTATATAATGTACGATTGAGACATGAAACTGGGTTTATGTACTGCTGAAGAGTTTTTTATGCTCCATTTCAGGTTAGTTAGAGATGCAGTCAATTACACTGCGACTCCAGATAGAACCTTTTCGTAACACACGGGTAAAACAATCTGAAATACTTGGCAAAGTTAAGTTAGTTAAGTCAAGAGGTGATAGATGGGTGGGGTAGTTTACAAGTGTACACCAAAGAGGATGGACAGCTAAGGTCAGCATAGAGGACTACTGGTCCCCATCTGCCAACCCCCGTGGCGAAGAGCATGTAAAATCATACCTCACACTCTGTACACCAAAACAACCACACACCCATGGGCTGAACTCAAGATTAGAGAATAAAAGAGATGATAAAAATTGTGATAGGCCTCAAAGCAATAAGCTTTACAAACTGCTGTGAGCAACGGACACGGAGTCCTTATTTTTTTTCCACATTTTGCCTTTCATATATAGATATATGGGCCCCTACCTTATTGGTGAAGGTTGTGGGGACTGTATGCACTCTGAGACAATGACAGCAGGCAATGCTCAAGGCTAGAATAAGTTCTTCTACCTCCTCTGCGTATTTTTAAGATAAAAAGTTATTCTTTGTTGTTGTGGCTATTAAACTACCATTATTATGGAAAGCATCTTCACCTGTTTCAACATAATTATTTGCTATATTGATATATATGTATACAAATACAAAAAAAGATCTTGTTTCATTGTGTCCCTGCGCTAATAAAAACAGACCCACGTAGTTTCTTTCCGCGCACCATTACTCTCATGAACAGTCAAATCAGACGTGTGCTGTCATGAAACAATCCCAGTATAATATCGCTGTAATACCAAAACATCTGCTGTACTTATATATATGCCAGTGTAACATAAAAATTGTGCAATAACATCTACATATTATCCATTACTGTCAAATGTAAATCTCAGTAGGCTGTGTATACTGTCCATAAACCACCTGATGTATGGATATAAAGTTACTTACTACATTAGCCATGCAGTATTTATCAAGGACACTTCCACACACTATTTGTAACCCTGCAGACACTGTATGTTAGTTATATACAGTATCTCTGTCTCATACCAACTTGTCTTTACATAATAGTCAAATTGTTATGTTTGGTTATCTCTGTTTACCTTTAATCTTTGTTTAGATAGTAAATGTAGTGTTCTCTGGACTGTGTGTAAGCACATTGAGAGACACTGGAAATCTTAGTCAGATTCCTTGTCTGCCTAAACATTTACTGGCCAGTAAGGCTAATATGCCATATGGCTGTTTAAACTGTGTAAAACAAATGCCGCAAAGAAAAAGGAACACGCATCTGCAAATTTGACCCAGTTCTGCTCTGCACCTGTAGTTTCTGTAGTCTTTTCTGTAATAAATTCCCAGCAGTGATCTACATAGTACTGCATCTTCAAACTGCTGATGCACCACTGCTAGCACAACATTTTCAGCATAGTTACAGTAGAGCTGCCCCAGCTAAAGGCGGAGCTGCAACTGCTCACAGTCAATATGCAGTGACTTGGAAAACACAACAAACTCACCAGATATCAAGCCCTGGTCTCCATCGCAGGTTTCACATCAGCATCTCGATCAGCTGGCAGCCAGAGAGTCAAAGCTGAGGCAGGCGACTCCCACTGGCAACACAGGAAAATACCACCTAGAGGACAAGAGACATGTTTTGTTAGAATTAGGATGCGTTACAGCTGAGGTGAGTTGACTAACCACGCTTAAACAAAAACATCAGAGGTGTGGTAGCTTTAACACATTTTGGGATGTTTATCATCTACTTCTAGACAGTGGGAAGGAGGCAACATTCCTCAACACACAGGAGAAGCAGTCATACATTCATAATCTCATTGACTGAGCTTGCTCCTTTTTCCACTTGGCAGCTTTGGGTGCGATATGAACGCTGATCTGATTATGAAACAACAGGAAAGAAGCATAAGCAGCGGGAGAGGCAGCAGAAAAACAGAGCTGGAGATACCATGACTATGAATGTGTGTCCTGTCATTAATATTTCACTGCATCATTGTAGCTAAAGGAGAACAAAGTGTAAAGGGGAGCATAATGAAAAATTTATCACATTTTGACACAGCGTTGGAATTTATCTGTGCAAAAACAAAGAACGGGCGACTCTTCTCTGCTCGTGATGAGAGTTTGTGACTGAGAAAATAAGGTGATTAATGCATCCAAATAATTACTACATGCTTTAACATATGGTTATTGCCAATACATGCACATATCTGATGAAGACGCATGAGGATAAGGTGTAACTCGCTTAGGGGGCTACTTCTACTGCACATTTGTTCTTTCATTTTTACTTTAGAGAGGTGATTTTCAAGGTCAGAAGCCTTCGGTTTCTCACTTGTCCCTAAAATTCAAAACAAGCTACACGACATCTCGCAACTCTGCCTGCAGTACAGCAGCACGCAACCCAAGAGAGATTACCATATCACTCGCATTTGTCTGCTGAGAGCCTCCATGCATTAAAAAAACAGAATTTTCCACTCAAGTTCTTCTTCCAGCTCTACTGTACATCAATTTGTATTCAGAGAGGGACTTTAGGCTTGTCACCTTCAGCTATTCATCCAGCCAATGAAGTATTTATGACGCAAGCTTTTGCTTTTTGATACGTCATTCCAATCCATTTCAATTCATCTTGAGCTGGAGTCGGCGCTGTCATGTCAGAGTTTAAGAAATGAAGGAGAGAAACAAAGTAAGAGTGTAGGTGTCATGAGTTTCACAGTCTATCATTTCACAGTCTGTCACGCCATGCATATTAACTGCTTATATTCATGCATGGAGGCGCTGCGGCCCACTCCGCCAGCCAATGTGACAGTGAGTGGTGTGACTGCATTGTGACACTGAGCAACCACTGGAAGGTGCATAAAGTTGTAAATTTGTTGCAAACATGAAGTCCTTCACCCTTCCACAATTGTCCGACAACTGATTTTTCGGTTTTATCTTCATTTCCAAGCATCAAATCATTACCTGGCCCAGTGTGATAAGTCCGGTGTCATCCCAGGACAAGCCGGTCTCACTTAATCTCCAACATGGCTCCCCTTCACTGTATCAAACACTCCACTTCCCTGCTCCATTTTCCTCTCGCAGCCACAAGATTTTGCCTCTCTATTTCTCTTTCTTTTTCTCTCCAGGCCCTTATATGACGTGAAAAGACAGAAAAAATTCCTCAGTGCCAGGCAACTTTGGCCAAAGGACATACTCCATCAAGTCATTATCCATCACGGTGATTCCCTCCTATCTGGTCAAGACAAAGACAGTTGTTAGGGAGACACTCATCCTCCTGTGCTGCCAGCTTTGTTCCTTAAAATACTCTGTTCTGACAACAGGGGCAGCTGAGACTTCCCTTTTTATCGCACTGTGATTATATTTTTGTCCTTCAATCCGCACAGAGATGACTTGATGTGTGTGGCATGAAGAAAATTGAAAGGCCAGTCAGGTTACAGGAATGATGGAAAACATTTCTTTTTCAATTTCTTTCATAAGAAAACAACCGTAACCTTGAAATTCACCTTCATAATCAACATGCTGTCTCGAAATAAGAGGAGCACTAGCATCAATTGGTATTTTATGGGTTTATAAATAGACTTTGAGTCCTAAATGTACCTACAGTGAAAGCATTATAGAATAGCAGAAGCATATTGTATTAGAATGTGAACGTGAGATATTATATATTATGATTTTCTTGGAGATTTCCTTGGGAAACTGCCTACATCAAATATCTGGAAAAGCAGATCTGAGCAACATTGATTTATTTAAAGATTGGAATAAAACAGAACTGTAATTTTTGTCTAAGCAGACAAGATTACAAATTACACATTCAGAATACAATGTCAGAATTATCTTTCTACTGGCTTAAAGAGAGGAGGGATTTTTTCCTTCTAAGATATCAGCTCCGCAAAAGCAGCAAAAGAAACCACTGCAAAAACCTTCAGGTATCTCATTACATCAGATCCTGCTGACCATCTAGGGAGACAAAAACAAGCCTCCGAGCTTCAATCAATTATATATTTGAGTGAATGCATTCATATTGGATATAGTCTCCTTTCTTTGTGCTCCATTCCCCAGATATCGAGAAAGCGATGGCAATTCCTGAGCTTATACTGGCCGGTAAGCAAGGACCCAAGGCATTTAATAGACCACGGCAGTATGGGAAATTAATTCCACCATAGCCATGTAAAGAGGTTTTTGTGTATTTATTAGAGACTTTAATTATTTTTAAATTGCCTGACTGGAGTAAAGGTTTTGGTTAGAATTAAATTTTTCAGCAAGTACCTCCTTTCCCTTACTGCAGTGATCAGGGTGCTTGAGATGAAGACAAGCAATAAAGCAGCCACAGCTGTAACACGCTTATTAAAGGACATTCTCAATGTCATCATGACTCAGCAGTGGACTGATGGAGGCACTTGTTCAGGAAAACAGCTATGCTGTTCTGAGGTGTAGAGTAGCCTGATAGCTGTCATAACTGAGAGTCAAACTCATCCTCAGCAGATCCAGGAAACTGAATGCCATCAGACCATTCCTCTTTTCCCCTGGCTGTACAGTAATTTACTCTTCATGTCAGCACATTGATTAATGACTTGATTTACACACAGGATCATATTCGCTACATGGCAAGGTATCAATCATAGTACTGTACGTGTTCTTGGAGTTTCAGCAGCTGTGTTGCCACAGTCAAAGCCTAATTATGTCTACCTAATAGGGGTGCATGAACAGCAATGCCCCGAAACATTGAACATATTGAAAATAGTGTGGACATGTGTTTAAATACATTAAATATATCCAGTTTATTTATATCCAGTCAACTGGGGACTAAACCACAAAGTGAGGTGATTCAAGGACGAGCAGCTGTTTTTGTCTGAGCCGTTTCCGTTAATCTAAAACACTTTCAGACTCTGATGAACGCTCTCCCCATGGTCCAACTTAAACAGAGTGGAGCTCTTTTCTTGAAATGAGACAAAAACAGTTTAGAGGAAAATTTCTTGTAGGAGCAGTGTGATTGAATAATTAGCTTTTTATTAGCTTCTCCAAACCTTTGGCCTTAGAGGTCAAGAAAAGAAAGATGAATGGTGTGTGTATGTGTGTTCCCCAGCCAATCAATACTCATGAATCTTGTCCTGCTAGAGGGCGAAGTTACCAAAAGAAGGCCTGGAACTAAAGGAGCTAGGTTGGGATAAAAAAAAAAATAATAATAATAATTCTCAGTGATAATTAAGGCTTGTTGTATTATGGTTAGACTCCATCAGACAAGGCTGTTGGAACACATGTTGAGGTCCTCTGCAATGCATTAGCTGAAGGCGCACAAGCTTTTCAATAAGACTTCATCCAATCACGTCAATACGGTTTAAGTTACAGGTCTGAACATGCAATTGGATTTTGCTCACGTTGCTATCAGATCCTCAGATCCAGAAGTGGTCTCTTTGCACGGTGACTGGAACTCTCCCATAAAGTTAAACTACAATGCAACTAGCCAATTAAATATTTTCATTATCAATTAATCTGCCAATTGTTTTTTCAATGACTCAATTATTTTTTCTGATCTTTAAAGTGTCAGACAATGCTCATCACAGGGACTGCAATGGCCATGGCTGTAGATTACCCTAGTGTGTTCTCCTGTCTCCTGTGCTCCTGTCTGTGTGTTGTAGGTATGTCTTCCCTCCCGGCTCTGCTCCCCTGCACACCTGATTGGAATCAGCTCATCACCACTCCTGGTTGACTCACTTGTCCTGCATCTCTTCATCAGTCCAGTATATCAGCGACAGCTCCATAGACTTCAAGAGCCAGATCCAGTCTATGACCATGGTAGTATGCACTATAGCCACTTCCTGTGTTTCAGTTATTTTAGTCGTCTCAGTGAGTTCTTAGTTTGTATTATATTCCCGGCTAATTGCTACTCCCGTGCTTCAGGACTACACTTCACCTGTCTGCTTGTACAATGTAGTTATAAACGTTAACATACGAATAAATCCTCAGCATTTTTACTATATTATTATATATTAACTGTATGTACATATGTACAAATACTTTGCAAGCAGCTTTCAATTGTTTATACGTGTATTTAAAACTCCTGAAGAAATGTTTTAAGGTACATTTTTTTACCTTGTAAATAGTCATATAAATAAATTCTTTACTAAAGATCCACTTGCAAGCTTTCTGTTGCATAATTTGTCCTTCAGCAAATGGAGTTTGCTCCGTTGTCATGGAGAGTGAAGAAGAATTTATGAATAAATACTTTGTTTCATATAATATATGTAATTGTATAGGCTTACAGTTGTGTTACACTGCGTTGTTACAGTTATTGTAGAATGCATTCATTAAAAAAAATGTCCTTATATTTGTTTACAACAAGTTAAAGAGAAAAGCAGCAAATCATTGCTTTTGTGAAGCTAATCGTTAAGGGTTAATTGGTCTGGGTGGTATGAATGTGAGTACAACATTTGTTTTCAATCCAACCAATAGTTTTCCAGATATTTCAGTCTGGACCAAAGTGGTGGGCTGACAGACCGACACTGCCACTGCCATCCCAAGAGTCATGTCACTAGCATGGCTAAAAATACTAAAATAATGAATCGACCATCAAATTAGTTGCAGGTTCATTTTCTGTCAGTTAACTGATTGATCTTTTCAGCTCTAAGT